GACAGAGAGAGAGAGAGACAGAGAGAGACAGAGAGAGAGAGAGACAGACAGAGAGAGACAGAGACAGAGACAGAGACAGAGACAGAGACAGAGACAGAGACAGAGACAGAGACAGAGACAGAGACAGAGACAGAGACAGAGACAGAGACAGAGACAGAGACAGAGACAGAGACACACACACACCTTTTCTTACTCTCTCTCTCGCTGTTTGAGCTTGGTGATGGATGTTCTCTGAGATGGAACATGAATTTGGTGTCTTCTCTGATCCGTGTACAGTTTTATGTGGATGCGATAGCTATGATTACCAGTATCTCTTGCTGACAGTGACTCGTACCTCCCGCTCTCTCATATTTACCCTTTGTTTCGTCTCTCTCTCTTCTCTCTGTGTATTGTTTCAAAAAGCGCGAGCGTGCGGCTTATTGGTTGGGAAAAGGGCAACGCGAGAAACCAGGTGCGGCGGGCACCCCCCCCCGGCCCCTCCCCGTGGCTCGTTCACCTCTCCTGTGCCCTGTTTTCACTCAGCTTCCTGCCTTCCTTTGCTTGCACCTAAAACTCCTTGCTTGCCTCCTCTTCCCATGCGATTACTGCAAAAAGCCATCGTCTAATTATAGATGTTGGTCGGACTCCGCATCTTGCTCTCTCTCTCCCATGCTTCTTGGTTGTCTTTTGCTGTCTATGCTTTTGCTGTCTATGACCTCAGCCGACTTGAATCATATTCTTCAGAGTGAAGCGGTAGCGGTTGCGGTAGGTGAGGAGCCCAGCTCGGCCGCTCAAAGCCAGCCACAACATGAATATGCAGACAACCCTTGAAACAGGAGACAAGATTGGGTATGAAGACACGTCAATTCACCATCAAGGCAATTTACTGAGCCTTCTGGGATCGGACAATCTGGGCCACGCGCTTCTGGGCAGCCTATAAAAAAAAAAACGAGGGGAGAAGGATAGATAAGGGTGAGATTAAAAAGCAGAGAGAAAAAAAGACGCACGCAGAGTCTCAAACACACACGCAACTATTAAAAGATAGAACCCCAAAAGCGCGCACCTTGGACAGGTCGGGGCGGTAGTAGCTGGTGGCAGCCAGGCCCTTGACGGAGCGCATGGAGGCACGGGCACCCTTGGTCAGCTTGACAGTGTACACGTTCTTCTTGGGCTGAGAAGCATACTTGGGGTTCTTGGCCACAATCTCAACACCCTTGGCGCCGGCAATGGGGCGAACACCAAAAGCCTAATACAGAGACGTCCAACAACCCATCCAATGCCCATGTCAGTGTGCGCCCGAACAAACAAACAACGCCATGATCCCCGCGCGCCAAAATGGCGAGGAGCTCTCCGATATGATTGTTCATCTGCTGGGAGAAAACGGGAAACCATTCCGAGCCATCTCTGCTTCTCACCTTGGAGTTGGCGAGACCGCTGGCACGGAAGCTGTGCAACTTGGTGATGTTGGTCTCCTCCTGCAGTCGCGCGCAACCATTGAACGAGAGAGAAATGGGCCAGGGTACACCGAGGCATGGATCAGGATCAGCATTGTGTCACGGCAGCCAATCGGATACGATACGACTCAATCTTCAAAAAAATACACGAGATCCCCTCGCGCGTGTCCGTTCAGCCCAGCCGTCAAAAAGGTCTTCGCATGCAAACTTGAGGCCTCCGTCAATACACTTCAACCAGAGACCTGGGCTGGGCTGATGAAGACACGCGCGCATCTCCTCACGCCTTTTGAACAGAAAAACTCACAGTGCTGAAGTAGCGGCGGTCGCCGGTACCGTTACGGTTGATGTAACGGTTGTTCTTCTTAACAATCTGCCAGGTGAGGGCGTCCGACATGTTGACGGTCTTTCTGTTGTGACGGCAAGACCAAGAAAAAAAAGTACACCATGCATGGGATAAGCATGGGATGCCAGATAGGGGAAGCGGGAAAAAAGATGCAACGAAGTCAGGGTTGATGCATCCTGCCTCAAAGCTGGCTCGGGCACGGAAGACCAAGGCAGATGTGCGTGGACCATCCCAAGCATGCATGCGGCTTCACACCAGGCCAGCCAGCACGACTCGGGCCCTCCTTGGACATGTCAAGTCTTTCCTTTCCGAACACCTCTCTCACGCTGCAGCATTAAGTCCAAATGGCAGCTTTCTCGAACAAAAAGCCGGCGCACAGCCCCCTCCCTCCCCCCGGGCGCACATCCTGCCGTGCCGATTCAATCCTTCTGGTGCGCTCGAAGCGAGCGCGCGCGTCCCCAAAGCAGAGGTCCAGTCACGCCGATACGACACACACACACACACACACTTACGAGCCAAAAAAGAGAAAAGTGTCGCTGAACGTCACGAGGTTCAAAACCAAGCGATAAACTTGCTTGAGAGCAAGTTTTATCTGACAAATACCGTATTTTTTTGGCCAGGTAACGTTTGCCGCCAATATTTGAAATCATCATCATCGGCGTCAGCGACCAGCAGCAGCAGCAGCAGCAGCCCTCTGTCGCGATGGCGATGACTGGAACGACGCTGCAGGCGCGAGCAGATCAGGCACGAGCCCTGTTGGACCGAACACGCGCCTCAACACCCTCGTGGTAAGCGTTGATATTTTGGATCTGTGGTCGCGTGGCAGATGCCCTGGAAGCTGTATGGTTGTCTGATGGTTTTGATGTGTTTGTGCTGCGGGGACAGGGCCCTGTTGGCCCGGCCGGCTCGAGGGGCGGATATTCCTCCCATTGATCTGGATGAGGCCTTTGGCCTTTTTGCAACATATCAGGATGCCTCCAGCCTCCAGGTCTACGTACGTACTCTTGGTCAAGCGCGCGGCGTTATTTCTGCTCGCGCGCTGTCCTGGACCAGCCACTTACGCATGGCCGGCCAAATTGTTGTCCTGCACAGAATTACTATCGTGATAATCGGCGGCAGCTCAGCGCGGCAGAGTCGCGCTTTTTGTCCCGCTACGACTGGAACCAACTTCTTCGACGTCATGCTGCCCGTCAGCAGGAGCAGGAGCGATGGGAGCAGATGCAGGCAGCCCAGGCGGCTGAGGAATTCCAAGAGGCGCATGGGACACACGCCCAAACAGCTGTACCATCAGGGCAGCGCTATCGGATTGTCTCCAGCAGGGGCGTTCATCAGGCGTAATCAAAAGCCTGCTTAACCCTTTGCCATCCAGGCATTGATTTTTTTTTTCTGTTTTTGCTCGCGTGCTGAGGACGGTGTCTTGTCCCGGGGGCACTTGCAGAGTGGCCGCTGCGCGGTTTGTGTCTTAAAATTGATTTCTTTCTGTCATGCGGCAGACAGCCAGACATGGGGAGCCATCGCCAACCATATGAGCATATGCAGAGATGCAATGTGTATACGTTCAAGTTACAATCGGGGTTCAAAATCTGCCGATCCTCTCTTCTTTCTGCTGGCTCTTTGACCAACGCATCGCGTGGCGCCATCTATTTGGCTCATGCTTCCATCCGACATGCCTGATGCTTCCTGTAACGCCTCTTTCAGTGGCTGTGAGGACGGACAAGAGTCATTGCCTTGTTCATATGCATAGCCGCTCAGTCCCTGTCGTTGTAACATACAGATTGGCCTGCACAGATTGTTCTCGATCATCACAAATGCACGAGGTGTAGCTGCAACCCTCTTTGGCTCATCAATTGTTCGCCCCTACTTGGTTGGATCTGACATGCGCCGTACACCCATATGATTGAAGATGAGCTTCTCTGATGATTGCTTGCCTGCTCCCTTCGAACTTCTTGAAGCGTTGTCTCCCTGCCACTCTTTGCGTCTGCAGCGTCCCCCACCCGTCAATCTACGAATCTGTGCTTGCGTGTCTCCGTGTGTCTCTGTTTGTCTCGCAGTTTGTCTCTGTCTGTCTCTGCGTGTGTCTCTGTGCATCTCGCAGTCTGCCTCTGTCTCTCTGCCTCTCTTGACAACCTCTCTGTCTGTCCCCATCCGTCCCTCTGGCCGTGTGTTTGCATAATAGTATGATCATCTGCCTTTGCCTCTGGTTGTGCATGCATCTCCCCAAGTCCCTCTTCCCCTATGCCCTTATAACCCATGTCCAAACATCTTCGTGGCTTCATGGCTCCCGTAGCTCCATAGCTCCTCCATATCCCGACATCTCTTCAACGGCTATACATCTCTTTACTTTGATGTCCCCATGTCCCTCTGTCGCTTTTCGCTCGCTCTCGCCCTCTCGGCCTCTCTCTTCTCTCTCTTCTCTCTCTCTTCATCTCTCTCTCTCTCTTCATCTCTCTCTCTCTCTCTCTCTCTCTCTCTCAAAATCTCTC